TGGCCAGTACAAGATTTGATCAACTTGATTGTGTACATTCGAACAGAAAAATCAGTTCTGCCAGTCAGAGAAATTGGGGCCCCAATTGCCATTGAAAGGGAAAAAATAAGGTGTTACGACAGAAAGAGGAGATGTTAGAAAACCTGAGGAAGGATGTGTTTTGTGGATGGTTGGCTCAGCTGCATTTGAACAGACTCTTCAAACAAAGCTGTTTTCAGATGTTACAGGCTGGATGGATGGATTCAGCCACTTACCTGGTATTTGATTTGTAAAATGAAGAGCTTTTTTTCAGGGTACCTGATAGTAGTTCTTTACTTGTTTAAGATGAAATACTGACTTCTGATAATGGTGGATAAGAATGGATCTTAGAACATGTGTAGGATGCCTTGTCTTTCAGTGTTTAGAGGGGATTGTTTCCTGGAGCAGGGTTTCTCTGAGCAGCCTAGAAGTGAAACATCCCTTGCGACCATGCTGGATGAAGACCTTCCATGCTGTGGATGCCCTAACTTTGTAGGAGTGTGACAGAGACCGGGAAGCCTATAGCTACCTTTTTCTCACATCAGCTTAATGAAAGGGACGGACTCTAGGGTGGCATCCGAAGAGCCCCAAAAGAGAAAATTCCGGTTGGCTATAGAGGCATGACAGGCGGTGTTTGCCGTGTGACAGAGAAGTCTCCTGCGAGAGGTGAGCCCCTAGAAAGCATGGTCCCATAAGTCTTATTCAGCCTCAGCTCTGCTCTCTCCTGGGTCCCCCGGTAACTTGGTAGAAAGAAGGGAACTTACCTGGGACTGGAGGTTTATAACACTCAATCTTGAATTTTAGGAACTTCCGGTGATTCAGATTGGTATTGCCCAACCATTGTGTTGGGACACTGTGGTGTGTAGAAAGCATAACTGTGTATGTTGCAATATCCTGGCTTTCCTTCTTCACTCCCCGTTGTCAATTTTTTGAACTGGAGAATAGGGAACATGGTGACAGTAATGGTGAGAAGGGTGGTATTGTGAGTACGGATGGCCCTCCGCGGGCCGTCTTTATTTTATAGACTCCTTGTATATTTGGGTGTATACACGTTCATAAGTGTTGGGACTGGTAGGTGAGGACGTGAGTAGAATGAGTCAATTCTTTCTACAGCTGAATGGCTGGGAGATGGCGTTTGGGCTGAAATAAGATGAGAAAAGTGGTCGAGGTGGACAAAATGTGTCAAACCAGTACAAACCAAAAGTGAGCCCAAGACATGCTGCCTTGTGACGCTTGTCAAAGTTGCGTGTGCATTTGGAGTAGAGGTATGGTAAATCATTAAAAAAAACAACAACCCCAAACTGGTAAATTTGAGAGTGGCATGATGGTGGGTGATTCCTTAAAGGTAAGATATTTAAAAGTTTTTGTGCAATATGGAATAAGAAAACCAGCATGTGCCCTGTTCCAGCTTTCATCGTATAACCCTGGGATGTCGGCCCTGTTTCACACTCGAGGGAAGTGAGATGCACACATGGAGCAGCTTGCTCAGGGACACAGGGCTGGTCGATTCAGCCAGGATTTGGACGTGGGTGTTCCACTTCCGGGTGTTCCTTTTCCTTCCTCGTTGCCCATTCTCACACCGGAGTGGGGACCCTCACTCTGACACTGCCGTGTTTAACTATGCATTCAGGTTTGCCTGCTCTGGTCCTGGCCTCGCTGCCCTCTCCTAGGAAAAGTGCTTCCAGACACTTGGAAGAGCCAGTCAGGGAACTTCCGCAGGTTGTTTGAAACTTTAAATATTAAATATTTGGAGTTCATTTCCTTCTAAGGATTTACAGTGTTTGACACCGTCTCTTAATCCCCTCCCTGGGAAATAGAAAGGAAACTCGATCTCTGTCATCATGGTTCCTACTTGCTGGTTTAGATGTAGTTTCATTTTCATGTTCATACGTTGAGAAGCATTGCATTAAAAACACACACACACACACACACACACACACACTGGTTTGTTGGTTTCTTGGGTTTTTTTATTTGTTTTTTAAGAATGTGGAGTACGGGCGCCTTCCTTGCTCAGTCGGTAGCGACTGTGACTCTTGATCTTGGGGTTGTGACTTGGAGCCCCACGTTGGGTCTACATAGAGATTACTTAAAACTAAAATCTTAAAAGAATATGGAATAAAAACGTATGCGTGTGGCTAGAGTCTGGAAGGCAACAAAACTTGAGTTACGTTGGAGAGTTGTTTTCTTTTTCCTTGATTTCATGTGTTTTTTTTTTTTAATTTTTATTTAATGTGTTCTTTGTATCTGGAGACCTTAGTGAATCTCCAAATTCAGGACAACATAATGCCATAAGAGCTATGGAATGGAACCCACCAAACCACATCGAGATGCAAAAAGCCCTGATCAGTGGTTGTGTCTCAGCTGTCTGTTGTATCCAGGAGTCAGCTCCTGTGTCTCTTCCTAATTACATGTCCTGTAATCTGGAGGAAGCAACCCCAAATTGAGGGACGTTCTACAAAACCAACTGGCCTGTCCTCTTCAAAAATGTCAGAGTTATGAAAGAACAAGCCTAAGGGACCTTCCCAGACGAAAAGACAAAGACATGACAGCGAGGTGCACTGGGGCCCGGAATTGGGCTTTAGACCAGGAGAGGGAATGTGATGAAGGGTGTTCGTGAGACAACTGGTCACATTTGAGTAAGGGCAGTCAGTACATTAAGTATTGGGTCAGTGTTAAATTTACTAAATTTCATAAATGTGCTGTGTTTTTGTAAAATGGTGTTCTTAGGAGATGCATGGTCAAACACTTGGGAAGAAGGGCTCATACTGTCTGCAACTTGCTCTCACAGGTTCTACAAAAACTCTGTGTGTGTGTGTGTGTGTGTGTGTGTGTGTGTGTGTGTACAGTTGCAAGTAATTTCTAATTCCTTCTAGCCGGGTAGGATGAGTTTTGTATGTATTAGAGGTGGTCTGTACATAACACGTATGTACAGAGAACTTTGGAAGCCGAAAAGAGGGACAGGTCCGCTCTGCAGGGGCAGCCTGAAGAAAGTCTTCAGAGTCAGTGTGTTGAACCTGAGTGAGAGGGAGGGGTGTTGTGGCCAAGAGAGAGAGCATCCAGAAGAAGGATTTCTGCGTATGACAGCCCACTGTGTTGTGGCTGGAAGGTAGGGCACGTCAGAAGGTGCCAGGGGTTGCTCAGGGGCCACTCCTGATGGCCTGGTATGCCTTATGAAGGAGTGTGAACTTCATCCATAGACATGATGGAGATACCAAGATGCCTTCGGCTGCACGTTTCATTAAACTTCAGCTAGAATGGCTTAAATGATAGGAAGTGTATTTTCTCACATCACAGGAAATTTGAAGGCAGGGAGGGTCCAGAGTTGGATAATTCAGCGTGGAGATGGCTTCATGAACCCAGTGTCTAGTTTTGCTGTAGCCCGTCCTTACTTAGTGTGTGAGTGGTGTCTCCTCTCCTGTCTGGGGAGGGAAAGGGAGATTTCTTCCCGAGCATGCCTTGCTGTAAGGAAGGAGAACCTTGTCCAGAACAGTCTTGGCCAACTTGCCTGCAATTCTCTTTGCTGGGATTGCATCCCTGCAAGAAGGTACTTGTGGTGGGTGGCTCTTGAGTCACTCTTGCTCCTGCATCTGGGACGGTGTTGCCCTTCCTTAGAGGAACCTTGGAGCGGTCACGGGAGGGGCTTGCTGGGTCAGCAGTCTATCGGTCCTGCCGCCGTGGAGAAGACCGTTCAGTTTTTCAGAGTGGGGAGTGGGAGCGGGAGTGACTGTATTTAAACAACAGAAACAGACACATGCACTCATCACCCCACCACTTTGACCAGTACCACTCTTTATTTTTGGCCTGTTGCTGTCCAGCCACTGCCCACGTGCACGTACTTCAGTGCTAATCTTACTTGACGTGCCATTTTACATACGATGTCATTTGCATGTTTTTACATAACATGCATATTTTCCTACCTTTTTAGTCTTCGACATTATTTTAAGAGATATGTAACGTTTTGTAATATTATACAGTAATTTATTAAACCTTCTGTTATTGTGGAACGGTAATAACGGCTAATACGATGGAATACTTAGCCCCACAGGCACTGTTGGTTGGAATGCTTTACGTTTATTAATTCACGTAGTCCCCACGAAACCCTGTGAGGTCTGGTGGCCATTATCACCGC